AGCAACGGTGATTCATCACGCTCTCCACTTCGGAATTTGTGACCGACACGTCATCCGAATCCACTTGAGGAGGCGGAACGGGCGCGGCATTTGCTCGTGTCCTAATTGGCGAGTTTGGCACCGGATTAGTGGCAATTTGGCTAACTGGGCGCTTTCCCACCGTTTGCCGTGTACTCCTCCTAAAAGATAAAGGAGAAACCCTTAAACAATCCAGACTCGTGCCTAGGCATGCATTAAGTACAAATACCTCTTGGAAGACTGTGAAGCCTCCGCGGTACTCCTGGCTACTTTTCGTTTTGAATGATGGCCTTGCGTGGGGGACGTCCTCGAGGAGTTACGGTCCTTGGAACGCCGATCCTGATGAAATCCAGATTAGTACAACAGGAAAGGATACAAATGAGGATCTCTTCTTAGGAAGCCTCTGGATACTCACAATGCAGAATGGGTAAAGGCGAGGGTAGTCGGCGATAATGGCCACTTCCGAACCATCATGGCTCGCCTGATAGAATACCCCATCGTCAAATTATATATATGCGGATCCTCACAAAAGCCAGGATATCACGATTATGATCCTCCGGCTGAGGAGTAGGACAGTGGACGTCCTCGATGATAACCCACAAGTATAGGGGATCACAACAGTTTTCGAGGGTAGAGTATTCAACCCAAATTTATAGATTCGACACAAGGGGAGCCAAAGAATATTTGAAGGTATTAGCAGCTGAGTTGTCAATTCAACCACACTTGGAGATTAATTATCTGCAGCAAGTAATCAGTAGCACAGTAATATGATAGTTTTGATAGTAGTGACAGCAGCAACGGTAACAGTAACAGTGATAGTAGTAATTTGTAGCAAGTGTAAGAGTGATGATAGCAGTAGTAATGCAGCAAAACCAATAAGGATAAATTCGTAGGCATTGGATCGGTGACTTGTTGGATGATATTCATTATGTGACAATTATAACCTAGGGCGATACGACACTAGCTCCAGTTCATCGATATAATGTAGGCATTTATTCCGTAAATAGTCATACGTGCTTTATTAAAAGAACATGCATGGCATCTTTTGTCCTATCCTCCCGTGGCAGCGGGGTCCATATTGGAAACTAAGGGATATTAAGGCCTCCTTTTAATAGAGAACCGGAACAAAGCATTAACACATAGTTAATACATGAACTCCTCAAACTACGGTCATCACCGGGAGTGGATCCGGTTGTTGTCACTCCGGGGTTGCTGGATCATAACCGTAGTAGGTGACTATAACTTGCAAGATCGGATCTGACACATGGATATAATGATGAATTCATAAAAGGTTCAGATCTGAAATCATGGCACCCAGGGCCAAAGTGACAAGCATTAAGCATGGCAAAGTCATAGCAACATCAATCTAAGAACATAGTGGATACTAGGGATCGGGTCCTAGCAAAACTAACTCGATTACATGATGAATCTCATCCACCTCACCGACCAGCGATCCTACGAAGGGATTACTCACTCCCCGTGGGGAGCATCATGGAATTGGCGATGGAGATAGGTTGGTGATGACGAAGATCGAAGATCCCCCTCTCTGGAGCCCCAAACGGACTCCAGATCTGCCCTCTCGAGGAAGAACGGGGCTTGGCGGCAGCTCCGTCTCGTGAATTGCGATAATTCTTTCTCCCTGATTTTTTCTGCTGAAATAATATGAATTTATAGTATCAGGGGGTCATCAGTGGGGCCACCAGGTGGGTACGACCCACCTGGGCGTGCCAGGAGAGGGGGGGGCGCCCTGGTGGGTTGTGCCCACCCAGGTGCCCCTCTCCGGCAGGTCTTGGCTCCAGAAATTCTGTTTATTGATATAAAAAATCCTCAAAAAGTTCCGTTCCATTTCGAGAATTTTTTTTTCTGCACAAAAACAACACCATGGTAGTTCTGCTAAAAACATCGTCAGTCCTGAGTTAGTTTCATTCAAGCCATGCAAATTAGAATCCATAATAAGAGGAAAACCGTGAGAAAAAGTAGATACGTTAGAGACGTATCAACTCCCCCAAGCTTAAACCATTGCTTGTCCTCAAGCAATTCAGTTGATAAACTGAAAGTGAGAAAAAAAACTTTTACGAACTCTTTTGCTCTTGTTTGCATAAATAAGCTTAAACAGCACCCAGATTTTCAGCCAGCATTATAACTAACCATGTCGACAATAACTCTTAAAGATTATAATGATTCGTATCAATGACACAATCAACTAGCGAGCAATAATAAGATATCTCAAACAGCAACACGTTGTCAAAACAATCATGATATAACATGACAATAATGGTATCTCGCTAGCCCTTTCTGAGACCGCAAAACATAAATGCAGAGCACCTCCGAAGTTCAAGCAGCGACTAAACATTGTAATTCATGGTAGAAAAAATTCAGTCATGATGCACCCAACATTAGCTACACACAATGCATAAATCATGACCGCTATGATCTACTCAGTTTCTGGCGCTTGTCTATAGAAGGTGATGACACAATATAAAAGTAAATAGATAGTCCCTTCGCAGAGGGAAACAGTGATTTGCAGAGGTGCCAGAGCTCAATTTTTAAAACAGAGATAAATGAGATTTTGAGACATGCACACTTCTCATTCACTTCACGACCATCAGTTATCAACATCTTTCATGCTAAG